CCTATGCATTTCTAGGACTACCCCTGAGCAGGTGGGCTGCCGTCCCTTTTCGCCTTTACTTCCAGGCAATATATATGTAGGCCAACTAAAGTAAAAGTAAAATAACGTATAAGGCCATATCCAGATGGGCCTCAGTTCAGCCGTCGCCCAAATCGCTTCCCCTCCCGTATCCCCTTCCCGAAATCCATCCTCCCATTTCACAAACAACCAAACTTAACCGACTGGTCTTCTCTCCGATAAATGGCGAAACGTGGGCATCTGTAGCGACACCAGTCACTGCGCAGATACAGCGAGACTCTAAAAGAGGTTACACAAACGACAGCGCCCACCGACCGCTGGCCAATCACAGACGGAGGCACCGAGGTCACAGGAATGTCTTTGCAAGCTGTTTTGGTCGTTCGAAATAAGGGCTAATCAGGACACCTTTGCTGTTTCTCCTTGCAGTGTGCGTAGGATATGTTTAACAATGTTGGAGAGGAACCGTAAAAGAAGGACAGGACAACGTGCGTGTCCGTTATGTATGGTAATATATGGTATCACGATGTGTGTGTGTGTTTGTGTGCGTGTTCATGTGCGTGCGTGCGTGCGTGTGTGGGTGTGTGTATGTTTGTGTGTGTGTGTATGTTTGTGTGTGTGTGTGTGTTTCTGTGTGTGTGTCTGTGTTCTCCTGTGTGTGTGTGTGTGTGTGTGTGTGTGTGTGTATGTGTGTGTTCTGCGTGTGTGTGTTCTCCTGTGTGTGTGTTCTCCTGTGTGCGTGTTCTCCTGTGTGCGTGTTCTCCTGTGTGTGTGTGTGTGTGTGTGTGTGTTCTCCTGTGTGTATGTGTGTGTTCTCCTGTGTGTGTGTGTGTGTTCTCCTGTGTGTGTGTGTGTGTTCTCCTGTGTGTGTGTGTGTGTTCTCCTGTGTGTGTGTGTGTGTTCTCCTGTGTGTGTGTGTGTGTTCTCCTGCGTGTGTGTGTTCTCCTGTGTGTATGTGTGTGTGTGTTCTCCTGTGTGTGTGTGTGTGTGTGTTCACCTGTGTGTGTGTGTTCTCCTGTGTGTGTGTGTGTGTTCTCCTGTGTGTGTGTGTGTGTGTGTGTGTGTGTGTGTGTGTGTGTGTATGTTCTCCTGTGTGTGTGTGTTCTCCTATGTGTGTGTGTGTTCTCCTATGTGTGTGTGTGTGTGTGTGTGTGTGTGTGTTCTCCTCTGTGTGTGTGTGTTCTCTGTGTGTGTGTGTGTTCTCCTATGTGTGTGTGTGTGTGTGTGTTATCCTGTGTGTGTGTGTGTGTTCTCCTATGTGTGTGTGTGTTCTCCTATGTGTGTGTGTGTGTGTGTTCTCCTATGTGTGTGTGTGTGTTCTCCTATGTGTGTGTGTGTGTGTGTGTTCTCCTATGTGTGTGTGTGTGTGTTCTCCTGTGTGCGTGTGTGTTCTCCTGTGTGTGTGTGTTCTCCTGTGTCTGTGTGTGTGTTCTCCTGTGTCTGTGTGTGTGTTCTCCTGTGTCTGTGTGTGTGTTCTCCTGTGTCTGTGTGTGTGTTCTCCTGTGTGTGTGTGTTCTGTGTGTGTGTTCTCCTGTGTGTGTTCTCCTGTGTGTGTGTTCTCCTGTGTGTGTGTGTGTTCTCCTGTGTGTGTGTGTGTGTGTGTTCTCCTGTGTGTGTGTGTGTGTGTGTTCTCCTGTGTGTGTGTGTGTGTGTGTTCTCCTGTGTGTGTGTGTGTGTGTGTTCTCCTGTGTGTGTGTGTGTGTGTGTTCTCCTGTGTGTGTGTGTGTGTGTTCTCCTGTGTGTGTGTGTGTGTTCTCCTGTGTGTGTGTGTGTGTGTGTTCTCCTGTGTGTGTGTGTGTGTGTGTTCTCCTGTGTGTGTGTGTGTGTGTTCTCCTGTGTGTGTGTGTGTGTGTTCTCCTGTGTGTGTGTGTGTGTGTGTTCTCCTGTGTGTGTCTGTGTGTGTGTTCTCCTGTGTGTGTGTGTGTTCTCCTGTGTGTGTGTGTGTGTGTGTTCTCCTGTGTGTGTGTGTGTGTGTGTGTTCTCCTGTGTGTGTGTGTGTGTGTGTTCTCCTGTGTGTGTGTGTGTGTGTGTGTGTTCTCCTGTGTGTGTGTGTGTGTTCTCCTGTGTGTGTGTGTGTTCTCCTGTGTGTGTGTGTTCTCCTGTGTGTGTGTGTTCTCCTCTGTGTGTGTGTTCTCCTCTGTGTGTGTGTTCTCCTCTGTGTGTGTGTGTGTTCTCCTCTGTGTGTGTGTGTGTTCTCCTGTGTGTGTGTGTGTTCTCCTGTGTGTGTGTGTGTTCTCCTGTGTGTGTGTGTGTTCTCCTGTGTGTGTGTGTGTTCTCCTGTGTGTGTGTGTGTGTTCTCCTGTGTGTGTGTGTGTGTGTGTGTTCTCCTGTGTGTGTGTGTGTGTGTTCTCCTGTGTGTGTGTGTGTGTGTGTTCTCCTGTGTGTGTGTGTGTGTTCTCCTCTGTGTGTGTGTGTGTTCTCCTCTGTGTGTGTGTGTGTTCTCCTGTGTGTGTGTGTGTTCTCCTGTGTGTGTGTGTGTGTTCTCCTCTGTGTGTGTGTGTGTGTGTGTGTTCTCTGTGTGTGTGTGTGTTCTCCTGTGTGTGTGTGTGTTCTCCTGTGTGTGTGTGTGTGTTCTCCTGTGTGTGTGTGTGTGTTCTCCTGTGTGTGTGTGTGTGTGTTCTCCTGTGTGTGTGTGTGTGTGTGTGTGTGTTCTCCTGTGTGTGTGTGTGTGTGTGTGTTCTCCTGTGTGTGTGTGTGTGTTCTCCTGTGTGTGTGTGTGTGTGTGTTCTCCTGTGTGTGTGTGTGTGTATTCTCCTGTGTGTGTGTGTTCTCCTGTGTGTGTGTGTGTGTGTGTGTGTTCTCCTGTGTGTGTGTGTGTGTGTGTGTGTTCTCCTGTGTGTGTGTGTGTGTGTTCTCTTGTGTGTGTGTGTGTTCTCCTGTGTGTGTGTGTGTTCTCCTGTGTGTGTGTGTGTTCTCCTGTGTGTGTGTGTGTTCTCCTGTGTGTGTGTGTGTGTGTTCTCATGTGTGTGTGTGTGTGTTCTCATGTGTGTGTGTGTGTGTTCTCCTGTGTGTGTGTGTGTGTTCTCCTGTGTGTGTGTGTGTTCTCCTGTGTGTGTGTGTGTTCTCCTGTGTGTGTGTGTGTATGTGTTCTCCTGTGTGTGTGTGTGTGTTCTCCTGTGTGTGTTCTCCTGTGTGTGTGTGTGTTCTCCTGTGTGTGTGTGTGTGTATGTGTGTGTTCTCCTGTGTGCGTGTGTGTGTGTGTGTTCTCCTGTGTGTGTGTGTGTTTTCCTGTGTGTGTGTGTGTTCTCCTGTGTGTGTGTATCTGTGTGTGTGTATCTGTGTGTGTGTATCTGTGTGTGTATCTGTGTGTGTATCTGTGTGTGTATCTGTGTATCCGTATGTGTATCCGTATGTGTATCTGTATGTGTATCTGTATGTGTATATGTATGTGTATCCGTATGTGTATCTGTATGTGTATCTGTATCTGTATGTGTATGTGTATGTGTATGTGTATCTGTATGTGTATCTGTATGTGTATCTGTATCTGTATGTGTATCTGTATCTGTATGTGTATCAGTATCTGTATGTGTATCTGTATATGTATGTATGTGTGTATCTGTATGTGTGTGTATGTGCGCGCTCGTGCCCGTACAAGCACAAACACACTCATGCAGATCGATAGATACAAACACACTCATGCAGATCGATAGATACAAACACACTAATGCAGATCGATAGATATTAAACTGATTTCCCATTTCCTAGAATATTACTTCCTGATCGTAATTTCAGGATCTGCTTTAACAATGCAAGAAAAAAATAGCGCCATCAAAATTAGCAAATCGACTCCCCGTTTGTATCTATTAAAAGATTGACATCGTATTGAATTTTAAGTCATTGATTGTTGATCAGATGACACCTCGCATATTCATATACCGACTGACTAGTATTCATTCGTGTGCGTTTTTTCAGCAGTTTGGCGCACCGGCTAAGACAAATGCACCGGCTAAGACAAATGCACTTTCTAGGCGATTTGGCGTCAGCAAGGGACAGTTTATGCGATGTCTATACGAATTATATATATATATGGAGGAATTTCTAACACCGGTCAATATGTAGTATAAGGTAGTGGCAGAGTTGGATAATAAAACCTACATGAAATGATAGAACGATACAGACTAAGACAAAGTTCTTCTATGGTAATGTGTGTGCAAATAGTTCCCAAGGTTGCTATACATAAAAGAAAAGAGAAGATCCCCCCCCCCCTCAGTTAATATGTAGAACAGGGTCGTGGGTTACTTTCGAAACAATTTTGATATTTTTCTGCATGAAATCCACTGCTTTCAACGATTCTAGGCGTTGTTCATTGTGCAAATTAATCGTTGAGGAGATATGATCACCATCTCCATTGACAATCTTGATAGCAGGGGAAGGCATGAAGTATATCAGGGAAATCATGGGGGTAAAACAGAACCCCCCATGGTTGTTAAACAAAACATCCCAACCCAACATCCAACCTAACCTAACACCGTGGTATATATTCCCTAGCCATAGGGAATATATATACCGTGGTAATTTATATGCCTAGCCAGGGGGCTACGCCCCCTTGACCCCCGTGGTAGTATATGCGTCTAGAATTCACCCTCGCAATGTAAACAAGATGAGCGAGTTAGCCAAAATTGGGGGATCTTCTCTTTTCTTTTACGTATGGCATCCTTGGGAAGCATTTACACACATATTGCCATAGAAAAGCTGTCTTGGTCTGTATTGTTCTATCATTTCATGTAGGTTTTATTACCCAACTCTGCCACTACCTTATACTACCTAAAGTCTTTATTAGAGAATGAAAAATGTAGACCCCGGCGTCGCTTCAAACATACTATGGGCCTCCTTTCTAAAGGATTTAGCCGAATCATAGTAGACACACAACCAACACAAAACAAATCATAAGACAGAACACCCCCAAACTCAACCAAAAACAGGACGAACAATGTTAATAATAATAATAAAAACACACACAGATAAACACAAACAAAAGTCCTTAC